GTTTTTAAATAGTACTGTGGTAAAACTAAATGCAACTTATCATCAAAATCAATTGAATGTAACTTATCATCGAAGTCAATTGAATGCAACTTATTTACCCTCTTCTCCATATATATTGTGCCAACTGATCAGCAACAATCAACAACGTCCTCTCCCGATTTTTCATATTATCAGATGTTAAACATTGAAGCCACTTGTTTTTAGGTAAAAAGAGAAACTGTAAGCTATAATACAGTGTGACAGAGTTCTTTATTGTTTGGTCTTGCGGTCTGTGCGACAACTGAGTTTGACAAGCCTAGATTCAACTGGGTCAGACCCAATAAATCAAGTAAGCTAAAATCAGCTAAAAGACAGATCAAACCCAGTTCGTAAATTCGATCATGTCCAAGATCCAAGGAATCTAAAATAATTAGAGCATGTAGGGAGCAATTATCGGGATACTCACTCTTGAAGATCAAGACAATCTCTTTATGGAACTTGCCTTTTGTAACTACCCGAAAAATTAGTACATTTGTCATCACGTTACTACTTTAACTAAGACTCTGTGCTTCTAATTTGTAAGCTTTCTTTACATGAGAGGACACCTCTTGATCTTCTCTCTACACACCCTACACATAGTTTTTCTCTCTCCTAGCTATTGTATCCCTCATGGAGCTAACAGTTGCTTTCTTTTTTTCGTTCTCCTTGCTTTAGCAATAAAGGTCCCCCGGCCACAGTTGCCGTTTATCGGAGTGAAATAGGTCATCCGGACTGAACCACTATATAACTGTGTGTTGATCTGATATTTACATTATTGTCATTGATTACTCAATTAATTGTCCATTAATTACACTTTATCACACACTCGATTGTTGATCTTGCATAAGTCTATTTTGTGCATCATCAATTTGGAGCCGTCTATGGGAACGACTAAGTTTTCTACTACCTTGCTACTTTCTATGGCGATCACGACCTAGTCGATGAGTCAACAATAGAAGGATAACAACCCAGTCTATTGGGATGAGGCTCCGCCTCCGCTTGCACTAGCGGAACCCTCTACTACAACAACCCCCATGGTTGGGCAAAAGCTCTTGGAGACCTTGTAGTTGTAGATAAGCTAAAACCAACAAATCATCCAGCTGATGCTCGCGTCGGGAGGCGCTGCCCCTCAGCTTATGGGAACAGTACTCACCTTAATTGGAGAGATGTCACAACCTCACTACTTTGGGCGCTAGGGAGCCTACCGTGGGGCTCAGCATCAGAGCTAGGGCACCCCTCACCCAGGAGTCCCTCCTCAGCGCACAAGAAGCTCACATGTTCCCCTTCCTCATGTACCTGCGTAAAAGGATGAGGGAGAAAACAGTATGTTGATCATGAAAGTCACTTTAATGACCCAACGGAGGACGTCCCCAACCAATGGGACGAGAAGATCAGGGAGGTGCAAAACCAGCTCGGTGATGCCCTTAACACCATCGAAGCACATGCGCCAGAGACTGTGAATTACTTGGTAAGGTGCACTGATACCCTGTTTGTTGCAGATGTTGTCAACTACCCTTTACACTCAAAGTTCAAGATGCCTACCACTAAGATCTTTGATGACACCAAAGATCCCCTTGACTATCTCAACACATACAAATCTTTTATGCAACTCCACAACATACTTGACGAATTTATGTGCAGAGCCTTCCTTACCACCCTTAAGAGATCTGCACACTAGTGGATCGCCAAGCTCAAGCTTTCTTCCATCCACTCTTTTACGGAGTTAAGCAAGTCTTTCATCTCCCACTTTATCGGGGGACGCCCCAAAAGCCAGTTCACCATCAAGTAGGATCAAGATGAAAGTCTGAGGAGCTACCTCACTCGTTTTAACGAGGGGACTCTCCAAATCAAGGAGCCAGACGACAAGGTGACCATGACCGCCTTTATCGTGGGTTTGCGTTCCTCCAGTTTTATGTTCTCTGTCCTAAAAAAGCCACCATCCAGCATGCCTGAGTTACTGTTAAGTACATGAACTCTGAGGATGTCACCAAGACCAAACGAGGTGAGTCATCCCACGGGGTCGAGAAGAGTAAAGATACCCGTGAGGACAAGCAGGAAGTAGAGAACAAAAAGAATAAGACAGAGAACATCTCTATCAAGTACCGCCTTGGTCCCCCGCCCCTTGAGAGAGTGGCAAACCTTTATGCCACTCAACGCTTCCGTGGAGCATATCCTGTTCTAAATACAGGATGATCCTATAGTACACTGACTAGAAAAGATGAAGACCACTCCAAACCGTAGGAACCCAAACAAGTATTACTGTTTTCACCGTGACCATAACCATGATACTGCTGACTGTTTTGATCATAAAAGACAGATCGAGGAGCTCATACAGCGTGGTCATTTGTGGCAATACATTGTTGACAGAGGACAAAACCTGTCGCCTGATAGGAACCAGAATGATAGAGAACGCCAACAGCCCCTTAGAAAAATCCAAATGATCTCTAGAGGGTTTGGAGGAGGAGGTGACTCCAACTGAAGAGCTATTACCAATAGCGGGTATAAGCTGGTGACTCTCATTTTATATATCCTTTATTGTTTCAGTTGATCTTTTTGTTCTTTATGAAATAAAACTCTGCGAAAATTATTGTGTTTAGAATTGTCTTGCTTTCATAAAGTTTATAAATAGCTTACAAAAGTCAGAACATGACCTAACAACAAGGTAGATAAAAAGATAAAAGTCGTCATACTCCCGATGATCAGTCACTACTCCTCGAGCCATTATCATCAAGGCTCTTTCCCTCATTATCTACCCCTGGTGCCTCATATGGGACGAAGTTAGAGAAATTAATAGCAAAAAAAGCTGTCAAACTCTTCATAACCATAAAAAAAGGCACCTACAATGGCCCTCGTAGCAGCCTCCTCCTCATCTTCGTCTCAATGGAATGAGCCTTTGTCATGGCAGCCATCTCCCGAGTTATACGTAGCTCGGCCATAGTTCCTGCGGCCCTCTCACGGGACATCCATAGCTATGACTCTACTTTCGCGCAAGTAGTCTACTTATAAATCTCTGCCACAACAACCATCTTTCAAAGCTAAACGTAGCTCAGTCTTAACTCTTGCGGCCCTCTCACAGGACATTTGCAGCTATGACTCTACTCTCGCACAAGTAGTCTTCTTATAAGCCTTTCCATGGCAGCCATCTCTCGAACTATACGTAGCTTGACCTTAGTTCTTGTGTCCCTCTCACGGAACGTTCGCAGCTTTGACTCTACTTTCGCGCAAATAATCTCCTTATAAACCTCTGTTATGACAACCCTCTCTTATGAGCCAACCTCAACTACTCCTCAACAGGCTCTTGAGTCTACACCACTAGGAGAGTCCCGAGAGTCTACACTGTTAGGGGAGTCCCGGGAGTCTACACCGCTAGGGGAGTCCCGAGAGTCTACACCGCCATAGGAATCCCAGGAAAAAGTATCACTCACCCCTGTGCTTGTCTGCTCAGAGCATAATTCTTCCACCCACCATGAGGCAAACCCATGCATTATCTCGAGAAAGCCTAACGTCTCGGAGACAGCTCCCCCTCAAGAGACCACATTTTGAGACTAAAGGCGCCCAACTCCTTTGTGCTTACTCCATGGGAGGCCTCCGAGCCCTCGCTACCATTTACTATACTATATTGGAGATTATGTGTGGATGGGTCCTCCACCAGCGAGGGCAGCAGTGCAAGACTAGTGTTGATCAACCCCCATGACACTCCACTCAAGTACATCGTCTCCCTCCACTTTGTAACATCCAACAACCACGCTAAATATGAGGTTCTCATATCAGGCTTGAAGCTTGCATTAGAGATGGAGGCCCTCTGCCTGACACCCGACAGTGGCTTTACAGCTGATAGTCAATTAGGTAAAGGGAGACTTTGAAGCAAAGGAGGAAAGGATACAATAGTACCTATCAATGGTCTAGGTATTGTTAAAAAGGTTTATTTACTTCCAAATCCACCATATGCCTAAGAAGAGAATGTCATGGAAGACGTCCTCGCCAAATTCGCGTCTGCCAATATACTAATGGGCCCGGTGCCGACAGGCCCTGGCTGAGAAGCGCTAGGGGCATCATACTTCATCTTCTTAGTAGAAGGAGGGGAAAACATTACCCTGAAAGTATATAGAGCCTCCACCATTGCCTTATCAATAGAAGTACCTAAAAACTTGGTGTGAGGCAAAAAGCTTACAACGCCAAAACCATCAAAAGTCTATGGAAAGGATCAGATATCTTTCCTCTTGGCCTATGAGAAACCTTAGGATGACCCGATGCAGACATAATCTCCAAGAATTCTTTGAAAGGATGGTCACGAACTATCTGGAGCCTACTCTCCTGCTCCATAGATAATGTAGGTGAAACTACATAGAAACTAATCACACAGTTAGAACAAATATGTGACGACCAGAAGTAAAAACGAAAGTGGAATTCCTACATAGCTTGGTCTTCGGGACGGCGTCCTATCGTGAAGGCACAAGGTCACGGTCACCCTCAATGGCCCATTCGCCTCCAACAAAGAAGAACTTAGACTTCTACCTATGACAGTTCGAAGGAAGCCCATTGAAGAACTTGTTTGACCTCGGAACGAAATGACACCACCCTTGATGAGGAAAAGGATTGTCTAGAAGCACGTATGTGGCCAAAAACTCCAAAAATAGGGGAGGAACTTCAGCATCGTGAACTAGACGCCATAGTGAGAAAAACCCGAGGATCACTCTCCACCCAGTGGGAGCCAACCTCTTGGGAGCCAACAACAGGTGCCTCAAAATTCGACAAATAGGTCTGGGTAATGGGAACCTCAAATCCGCCTCTAAGGTATCCTCATAGAGAACAATCTCACCCGAAGAGTCAGAACATTCTAGCTTGTCCTCCTCCGCCCAATGACACGTGACAGTAGGAGCGATACGATATGAAAATACAACGTTGGTGACATTGTCATCGTAGTCAATTAAGCTAAAAATGGAGGTTACCTTCGAACTGTCGCCTTCAGCGATCCTTTTGCCTCACCATGAAGCTTGCCTAACATCCACTGTATCGCCCCTATTGGCTCGGGCACCTAGCACAACAATAAAAGCTAATGGAGATAAACAGGCGTCAACATTAACAAAAAAGTCAAAAAGGTTAAGTTACACAGTCAGAAGGTGGTGCCTCAATCCCCTCCATAACCTGGTCCATCTACCTTTCCAAGTGGGGTCTCGGTGCCCAAGTCTGTCTCTCCCATGCAATGAGTCCATTCTCCAAGTGCCCAGTCTACCACGAAGGGATTCATCCAGTCTCAGGCTCCCATCAGAGTCGCCACCGCCGCCCAAACAGCAGACATGGTTGCCCGACTTGTGCCTACAGTTGGCGTCGCTGCCTACCACGTCCTCACCCGCGCTTAATGTCTCCATGGCCTTGCCTAATACGCTTGGGCAGCCACCGACGCCTGCCAACGCCAAAATCAAGTCAATCCCAAGGAAATACCTACGTCGAGGAAGGAATAAGTATGGGCACCTGATAACATACCTCTTGAGCTCTATTCTTTCGAGTCATTGTCTGGTCTTTTCCCTGCATTATCTAAGCGCCTAAAGAAGCCACTGAACTTACCCGCATGATTCTCGACGTTGCTCGATGTGCCTAAGCCTCCATCATCATCACCCTTCCAATCGACGCCGCTTAGTCTGCGTTCATTCGCCTCCTTACCAATCTCGTCCACTCGACTAGCATCTCTAGTTAACTGTCACCCGACATGGACGTTGTCTTCCCTCTTGGCGATAACGCCTCCCACGTTGATGGTGCCGCCATCTACCTTGGGCCGATCAACGCCCCTACGCTGCCCTGCATCACGAGTAGCTAGAACATCCAAGTCGAAGCCTCATTTGGCGCTGCCGTCACCTGTTGAGTTGGGCGTCGCCCTGGGCTTTGCCATGGCATCGCTTAGGTTTGTGGGAGAAACACGAGGGTTAGCCTCGCCAAGATTGTGGCCACTTAACATCGATCTAAAGCCCTCGAGCGCCTGGGCCATAACCCCATCGCCATCGGCGCTCCCAGCTGATCCTTCTCCTGAATTTTTCGATTCACCTTCCTTTTCTTTCATCGAACTCTGCTCTTCGTCTTTTCCCTTGTCTCCATAGTCACCCCTTTCAAGATTGCCTAGTAGTTTGTGGAATGTGAAATGGAAAAATGGTGGTTTTTAAGCCCTAGCTCAAAAAGGGATATGATGGGTTTGCCAAAAAAATGCCCTTCAAAGCCTGAGGGCAAATACCTAAGCAAAAAAAGAAGACCACGCCATTGAGTTTACCTAGCTATTGGAATATAGTCGACGACTTTACCTAGCTATTGGAATATAGCCGACGGGACAATGGGTTTTCAAGCACAATGATTATCAAGTCAAGAGAACGAACTCTCAAGGTACGAACGGAGCAAGAGATTGAAGAAGCCACCTGATTAACCATCAAAATTATTATTTTATTATATTTAATGATTAGTTAATTTCATATTATTTGTGATTAAATGTGTTAAATTTCTTAATTTTTTAATTTGATACTTTTTCTAGTTATTTGGTTTATTTTGCAGGTAAATTTGTTGATTTAAAGTAATAATAGATAAGACAAAGTGAAGTAATCACTAGAGCAAGAATCACAATTGATAAAGATTGAAGAGTTAAGATTGAAATAGGAAGACTTGAAGATATGACAATAATTTAATCCTTATAAGAGTCCAACTTATAAGAAAATTCATTTAAAGTTGGATTATGAAAGTATCTTAGAAGATAAGGATTTGATACAGTGTTATCAGAATCGGACCCGATCGGCCAGTTGGATCGATTGAACCGTGAATCGGGACCTAAAACGGTCCGGTTCTATAGTTAGACCACTTAATGAAGTAAACTGGCTAAAAACCACTGAACCGACCGATTTTGGATCAAAACCGTGAATCGGACGGTTTTTAAAAAACCAATCGATTGAAATTCCACATGTTATATATATAAAAAAAATATTTTTTTGGACCATTTTTGCCTTGAATCAAAGCGATTTCCCACCCCGTTTTCGCTCTTCGCAGATCAGTGGCCATTCAGACCACCACTCATCCCTGAGGCCACCACTTAGGCCATCACATATCACTCAGGTGAGCACTCAGGCAACCATTCAACTCTCAAGCAAGGAGTAAAAGCCCAGAAAGCTCGATCCCTCTCACTCAATCAATGTCTCTAACTTAGGCAATGAGAAACTTCAACTTTCAAGCCTTCAACTCAAGCAAATAAGGCTGTCCAGGATAGGGCATCAACGAATTTTTCAACTACTATGCAGCTACCTAGAATGACGAAGCTTTTGTCGATGCAAGACCAAGGAGGAATGCCTGTGTTGAGGGTTAGAAAATTGCTGACATTTGATGATAAAAGCTGATGGAGGTGTTTAGTTTCTCCATAGTTCTAAGGAGGGCATTTGATGTCTGATCTAGGTTGTTGCAAGTTGTTGGCAGTTTGGCTTTGTTGTAGGAATTTTGTTAAAAATTTATGTTTTGAAGGATTAAAGCCATAATTGGCTATTTGTGAATTGAGATTGTGAATATTATTTGTAATGAGATTGTGAATATTATGTGTATGCATTATAGATATATTTAATATTTTTTTGTTAAATTATTATGTTTATAATTATTATATATATATATATTTTATAATTTTTTATTATATGACCGGTTCGACCAGTTGACCCAACGGTTAAACCATTGATCCGGTTCCCTTACCGGTTTGATGGCCGATCCGGTTTTGATAACATTGATTTGACATATTTTCAGTATTTTGGTCATAACTTTTGACTTTTATATCCGATTTACTTTATTTTGAGAGTTAGAAAGAAGACTTCAAGGGTTACAAAAGTGTTTTTCACTAAATTTTCATGATTCAACCTCTAATATGTGAAATTCAAGCTCGAAGTATGGACAAATTTTGTACCGCAGGCCCAAAGATTTTATGTACGGGATTAACCTTATAAAACTTCTTTTTGAAAAGAAATTCCTTTCAAGCCAAACTTAGATCTCCTACCTATACCTAGGATTTATTTTACTATAAATAAAGATTCTCATCTAGGA